TACCCCTATTCTAAACTACATCATTCAATGTTTACCTCCGTCATAATGTGCATCACAATTTTTAGTTACTTGTTTTTGACATGATCTGTCTGTCTTTCAAAAATGTAAGCTACATAAGGGATAGGCCAATGTTGTTGTTGTCCACCATCATGTCCCAAACATCTGGTCTACTACCTAGCTCATAGGAAATACTCAAAAAGTATTTTTTGAACAATAACAAGCATGTACAAAGAAATGAATCCAAGAAAATACAGTCAAGTGAACTCTGTTTCTAAAAATTGATGTAAATTATTGAAAGTTCTGAATTCACATAGTTTTTCTTGAAAAGGAAAGTATGTGTACACACAGAATCCACATGTCTATCACATATGCATTATTTTTAGATAATTCAGGTGTTTAAATAGGTGTATTGCTTTTTTCCTCCCAGATAGCAACTGGAAATTTGGGGTGAAATCAGAAGAAGCAAACAATTTCTATTACTATAAAAATCATCACATGGTAGAACCCAAAAGTCACAGTTTTAGTAGGTTTTATTTTATTATTTTATTTTTTTGGTACGTGCCCCTAGCGGGAACCAAACCTGGGACTCTCTGGTCCGCAAGCCGACATGCCAACTGGCCAGGCAGATGTAGTAGGTTTTAGATCCCATACTATCACTTCATGAAACAAGGAAGCTCAGTCCACAGAGCACTGGAGGGAGCTGCTTAGTGTCATATGGAAGGTAAGTGGCAGGGCCAGATGACCGCCCTGCTTACAGACAGTGCCGCCACCCAGAAAGTTTGTAGATAACTGCACACATATCATTTTCATCAATTCAGATGAAAGTCTTACATTTGTTACAGGATTTATAATTATTTCTTTGTTCAATAACTCAACGCTGTTTATAGTTCATCATACCTTTTAAACAGACTTTTTAAAATTAAAGTTCTTTGTTGTGTTGGGTTTGTCTTCAATATTTAATCAATGTAAGCTGCCAACAGCGTCTGCTGCGTGCAGCAAGGCGACTGTTGGTCTTAAACTCCTGCCTTACCTCCCTTTGTTTTTTCTCTGAGGCATTGCATAAAAAAGAAAATTTACTTTAGAAATGCTATTTTGAAATTTATTTTTAGGTTTTCATTTCTCATTTAAAATTTGGCCCTTCCCCTCTCAAAATGTATACTATACCAAGAAATGGAAATTATATTGCCCCCTGATTGCAAACATCTATTTAATAACATAATGCTTAAATTATTAAAAAGACATAAATCATGCTTTTAAAATAAACAATGAAATGCAATTTCCAGAGTTCTGGCTTCACGTAGTAAATAAATTATATACATAAAAATAATTTTAAGAGTGTAGACTTTCTCTACATTGAACAAAGAGAAACATGATAACTCAAATAATTTAAGGTAAAATGAAAGTTTAATAAAGAAAAGTGAGTTTCTAGTTAAGAATAAAATCCCGATAATTTTTAGTATTTACTCATTACCACTTTATAAGTGATTCAGATGTTCACGTTCTTTAAAAATATCTGGAGTAAGGAGAAACAGTTACAGAATTTCAGAGGTAGAAAGACTAGCCCCCAAATGAGAAACGATTCCAACCCGCTTGGTTTATAGTAGCTGCTTTGAGTACCACACTGAGATTCTGAGGTTGAACCTGGAGACCACAGTAAGGGGGACTATGATTTATTAAGCATGTCAATTGGGAGGAAGAATAAAGTAGTGGCACAAGGGCCTTACAGCTGCCATTCCCAGTTTGGTTTACTATTCTCTGTGCCCCTTCTGAATTTAGGGAACTAACTGATCCCAGGTCACACAATGAGGCTGAAATAGAGCCAGGACTAGAATCCTGTGTACCTGCGTATGAGTTCAGGGCTCTTCCTACTGTTCAGTCAGGGCTGTCTTGATGTGACATGTGTTCTCTCCAGGGTTGGAAAACAAAATCTGAAGGGTGGTAACTCAGTATTGTCAGACAGTGGGTAATGTATTGAGGCTGATTAGAAATCGACAAATTTTTTCATAGAAGGGTCAGCCAGATATAAAAGTTTGAAAAGGGCTCTGGGATAGCTAATGAAGTGCATGCCATACTGCAAATGTATCAGTAAATCAAGTCATGTGACGTGGTTCAAGAGTAAATATATCTACACCTTGCTGAAAAATATAAGTTTTTAACAATTGCCTTTTATAATTGCAAATCCTTACTTTGAGATTATTTGTTTTTACTGCTAAACAATAATCAAATACAGAGCTGGGTAAAAGTAGGTTTACAGTAATTTATAAAGTAGGTTTACAATAATTAAAAAATTAATAATACAAGAATAAACTATGTTTCCTGTACTCACAATTGTAAACGTACTTTTGCCAAACCCTGCATAATTACTCTGTTGATAGGAAAGCAGTCAGTTGGCTAAACAAAGGTACTTCATACAGTCCAAAATTTAGATTTTGTGTCATGTGGTTTACAAGTCAGCATATTTACAAGTAACAATGATAAAAATTTGTATTTCATCTGTCTCTGTCTCTCCCTTTTAGTATTTTCAGGATATCAGAGAGTGGGTAATGGCCTAATTATAGATGTTTAAATAAAGGAGCCCAGCCGGTGTTGCTCAGTGGTTGAGCATGGACCCATACACCAAGAGGTCACTGGTTTGATTCCCGGTCAGGGCACATGCCCAGGTTGTGTGTGGGCCCAATCCCCTGTAGGGGGCATGCAGGAGGTGGCCAATCGATGTTTTCTCTCATTGATATTTCTATCTCTCTCTCCCTCTTTCCTCCTCTTTGAAATCAAAAAAGAAAAAAAAATTTTTTAATTAAGGAGAAAATAAATATCGCTATTATACTAAATATTAATCTATTTAATTCAGCAAAGATTGTGTTTGTGATCAGGAAATATTATTTTAATGACTGCTGGGTGAAACTCATGTTCAAAGTCAAGAAAATAGGCTAACACAAAACTACATTACTTTCACTAACAGAATAAAATCCAATAGTTTATCTTTCAATAACTATGATAGCTCTAAACTGTGGCCCAAAGAAGAAGTAATTTTGTGAAAATTAAGTATTTTACAAAGTTCCATTAATCAGTGACATTTGGAAATCAGGAGCTGTGACGATAAAGCAAAAGTGTTTCCCATATAAAGCTAAAAATTAGAAAATGTTGACTGAAATAAAGAAACTACATGTACTTAATATGGAACATACTTGTTCTTTCTACTAACTTTATTTTTAAAAGGAATAGTCATTATTTTAAGATGATACCAAAATAGTACAAAAGAATGAACTAGATAACCTAGACAATCATCATTTTAAGATGATACATATTACATTTTTGGGCAGAGAAATGGACTAGCTAAACTTCCCCAAACTCTGTATTATGTATAATTATGGTCAAGAGAAGCATGTCTGGACACATTTGAATTATTTAATATATTTGCCATGTAACGCAATATTTAAATAAAAATGAAAAAAAGTTAATGTGCTAATAAAATCCAAGTAGAATTGTTTAAATGCTAAGGTTCTAGATAGACCAGAAGGCTGAAGAATGGATTTTTAGGATGTAGAAGTATAATGGTGTTAGAAATACAAAGGCATCAGTAATAAGTATATTAAGGCTACAGAAAAGCTTCTCTCCATCTTGTTGCTATGAATACCTTTCTAATGTCAATACAGGAAATTAAAAAAAATGAAACAACTTTTTGTATCCAATTTAAGTTTTCTCATTTTTAAGAGCCAATATGAATGGAGTACTCTGGAGTACCAATGGCACTTAAAATCTAATTTAAAAAATCAATTATTTAGGTATACCTCATTAGAGGTGAAATAATTTATATAGGCTTTCGAACATAGAGGCTGCTAAAGTAGACACTAATCCACTGTACAGATTTCAAGGCAAGAAATAAGGCAGTTGGGACCCATCAAGTGTTGGATGAGGCACAGATGAGCACGGCCTGTTTCTGAGGGACTTCATAAATGTCTGCACACAAGAGAGGGGTGTGTGTGAAGGCTGAACTCTGGGAGCAGGAAAGTACCAGGCCAGGACATTTTAATGCACAGGTAAAAACCACAGTGTTTAGGAGACAAAAAAAGGGTGGTGCGGAGAAGAGAAGGCATTCCAGGAACCTGCGAGTTCAGATGCTTGAAAACACCTCTGGAACCTAGCACTCCAGAGGCCTGAGCAGAGAGACTATTAACCCCTCCCCTACCAACAGCTTTTAACTCAAACAGCTGGAACATTTCTTGGGAGCAAATTAATTTTTAAAAAGTGAATGGAAAAGTGTTAATTTGGTTGCTTGAAATATTCCTTATTTATCAGGTACGTTCTGGCAATGGGAAAAATAGTTTGCACTTTCCGCAACAGCAAAACTAGAATAAGTAAAATAATTACCCTACCCTTCTCTCCGCAAAAATATTAATGGATCATAAAGGCTCATTCTTCAGTTCTGTAAAAATTGTATCATAAGCATCAGCAAACTTTTTTTTGTTTGTTTTTTTGGGGGATTTTTTTTGAGCCCCTATACCAGAGGTTTCCAAACTCGTATGTATGTGGAAATCTTATTAAAAATGCGGATCTCTGGGCTCTATTTAAAAAATGTCTGATTCAGAAGTCCTGGGTAGGCCACAAGAATTTGCTTTTCAAACAAATGCTCCTGGTGAATCTCAAACAGGTGATCTGGGGATCACAGTTTGAGAAACACTGCCCCAAAGTAAACTCTTTTCCATTTTAGTTCAAGTCATAGCAAATTGTATGTTTAACAGGCTTCCTAATGTTAGTTCTGAGAAGCAGGTAGACTACCACAGATTCAGCCAGAGATGATGACGAAAGCACAGTGGGGAAACCTAGCCTTCAGACACCTACTCAGGTAGAGCCTTACAACGGGGTCCACCTGTTCTCCCCAGAGAAGCCTCCTAGCCTGTCCACACCCCATGCATTACCCAGTTTGGACACAAGTGCCTTTGGGTTCATCCTTGGTCTTAGGAAGCCCATATCAATATTTTCCAGTTGTTGTTTTTTTTTACCTCTTTTGGTGACAGTATCGAAATGTAATCGTCATATATCGTTCTGGCCTTTTCTTCAATGACTTTTTTGTTCTGCTCTTTCTTTAAGTCTTCGCAGGCAAGCCAGAAAAGGAGGTTCTCTTCACTGTATTCTGTTCGGAGGAACTCTCTGAAAAGATTTCTTCCTGCTGGGGCCTTCATCATCTTGTCAAAATTTTGAGACCAGGACAAGACTTCTTCTGTGGTGGGGTTTTGGCTGCCGAGAAAGAATGGGCCGGTCATCAAAGGCAACATGGACCTAGGAATGCTAGTTCAGGTAGGGGGACGAACAGATAGAAACGCTATTCAATTGCTGCCATCTAGTGGTCACCGCTCATCAGTTCGGGCCGATCTGGCAAATAATCTGCCAGGACTAGGTTAGTTACTTCTGGGTCCTGACAAAAACGAGTTTTAGGTACGAGCTGCATATCAGGGAGCCCAGGGTTCAAATAGCAGAGCTATACACACTACGCACATGGTCATCATAAATTCCTAATGAAGATGGGAAATGTTCAAACCTTAATATAATGCAAATTGATAGAAACAGTCATTGTTTGAAAGGCAAACTGAATTTGTTTGCATCTGATGTACATTTTTCATTTTCAAGCCATAAGACACAGTTTCTCTTTTCATCTCTGGTAGCTTTTTTTTTTTGCATTTATCACTGGATCTAAATTACATTGTGTACACTTGTCACATATTTTCCTAAACTTTAATAGTTATTCTATTAAATTGAGGGTGGGGCAAAAAGTAAGTTTATGGTTGTTCATGTGGGAAAATAATGCAATAATTAATAAATAAGAATATAAGAATAAACTTCGTGTTTTGTGTACTCACAATTGTAAACCTACTTCTGCCCCCCGTCTTAGAAGTGAATTGTTGCCCATGAATGGAGTTACCAACGTTACAAAGCACAGTGCCCTTGTCACAGGCAGTTAGACAAACGTGAGCAGAGCAAGGACCATGGGCCAGGTACAGAAACTCACCAGGGCAGAAAGTCCCAGATGCCTAGCTGGGGTCAAAACTGGAAAAACAAGAACCTCACCCCCAGGGAAACCTTTCCTCCCTTAGCTTATCTCTGGTCACGTGGTTTGGCCTCAGTTGTGTTTCAGCTCCAGGCCCAGAAATGCAGCAAAACCAGACAAATGACTCAGGACCAGCTGCACTGACTAATGACCCACTGCTTTGGAGCCAACGAGCAGCAGACCCTGAAGCCACTGACCCTGAAAGAGCACACCCGAAAAGCTGGTGAATATTCCATTGAGACCCTCCCCTGAGACCTTCCCTGAGATTCCCACCTACAAGAGAAAGATAAATACCCTCAAACAGAGGACCCAGCACATGCCCTCCCCCAGGGAAGCAGGCCTGTTCATTCCCTTCCCCTCTTCTTCCCTCTAAGGCAGTGTTCTCAGCCTTCCTAATGCCGGACCCTTTGATACAGCTCCCCATGTTGTATGTGGCGTATCTGCACGTGGGCGGACCCGCCTGGAGACAGACAGAGGAGCCGTGTCTCGGTTCCTAAGACCATCAGAAATATGTGTTTTCCGATATGTGTCTTAAGTGACCCCTGTGAAAGGGTCGTCTGACCCCCAAAGAGATCGTGACCTCCAGGTTGAGAATCGCTGCTAAGGGAGCGATGGGCAGCAGCAGCTCATCCCGGGCAAACTTCCTGCACCCGTCTCCAAGGCCCCCTGTTCTCTGACTTCCCAGTGAGCCTGAGCAGCCCAGTTTGGGCTCTCCTGTTCCTCCTTCTATGCCCTTCCCCATTGCACTGTCCTAAGCGAGTTTTTGCTGAGGACGATACATTCTTGCTGGCTTTGCTGCACTTGTCTCTTCACTGAAATCTTTCCTTCAAGAAGAGCCCTGGCTGGTTTGGCTCAGCAGTTAGAGCATCGGCCCTTGGACCAGAGAGCCCCAGGTTTGGTTCCCACTAAGGGCGTGTACCTCAGTTGCAGTTTGTCCCCAGCCCCGGTTGGGGTCCTGTGGGTGGCGACCACTAGATGTGTCTCTCTCACATTGATGTTTCTCTTTCTCTCCTCCTCCCTGTCTCCCTTCCACTCTATCTGAAGATAAATGCAAAAATGTCCTTGGGTGAGGATTAAAAAAAAAGAAGAAGAAAAGAACCATGGCCAGTAGCACTCTTACAATGACAATGAGGACTTTTTACATCTGTATATTCAAGTTTTCAGTGACTACTTTCCTGCAGAAACCACCAGTTATTCTCCCTTTGTTTATACGTCAAAGAAGTGCAAGAAACAAATTGGAGATTCTTACGGTTAAGTTGATCTTGCTTTTCTATACATTAGTGTACTTAAAAGTTTCCAAGTTAGCCCTGGCCGGTTTGGCTCAGCGGTTAGAGCGTCGGCCTGCAGTCTGGAGAGACCCGGGTTCGGTTCCTGCTAAGGGCACGTACCTCGGTTGCAGTTTTTCCCCGGCCCTGGTTGGTCATGCGGGTGGCAGCCACTCGATGTGTTCCTTTCACATTGATGTTTCTCTTTCTCTCTGTTCCTCTCTCTCCCTCCCACTCTACCTGAACAAAAAAAAAAAAAAAAAAAATAGAAAAATGTCCTCGGGTGAGGATAAAAAAAAAAAAAAAAGTTTCCAAGTTAAAATACACCTGATCAAGTGTTTTAAATAGATTTTTACTATTCTAAAATGTCTGAACTTCCTCATTCATTAAAAAAATTTCAAAAGAAGACAAAATTACTACAAAGCATCAACATTAAAATCTTCTCATAAGTAGAAAAAGAAAGCACCTATAATTACACAATAAATCGACTTGTATTTTGACCTTATTCTATAGATTCATTTCTGCATTTGAACTTCTCATTTTGGAGAAAATACCTGGTTAGAGTCTTCTGATGGGAATGGGACCAGAAACCAGCGGGGTGACCTTTCTCACCGATTTGGGTAATCCCACATCTATTTTGTGTGTGTTTTAGATTTTTTCCAACATAAAGAGACCAACTTAAAGAAATAGTCTCAGAAAAGGGAAGTAAGGAATTATGGCAACTTGGAGGAGTAAGTTCATGAAACAATCATTTTTGAAAGAGAAAGTTAGGCAATATTTTAGCTGAAAGCTTAACATTACTAATAGAAAAACTGATGAAAAGCAATTGCAGCCACAAAATAAGACCCCCCCCCAGCTTGTGTATGCATTCAATTCACAAAACCATTCTGAGGAGCAACAGGAAGAAAGAGCTGAGAGTCAAGCGCTGAGCAGATGTAAGCAGAGTATAAATACAAGATGCAACTGTAACATGAGTCACTCACCCTTCCTCCAGGACCTGGAGACTCTCCATTTTGGTGGTATGTGTGGGTCTTTCTGCAGTTTCCGCTCTTTCTTCGTTCCTAACAGTGAGGCTGGAATGTAGCAGAACACTTTATTTTGTCTAGGGAAAACCAGTTATCGAAAGAAGAAAAAAAAATTGCAAAAAAAGACTTCACGGCAGAATTTTATTTCTAGCTATGTGAGAACATTTAGGGTACAAAAAGAGCAATGCCATTTTTAAATGTGGGTTAAGCCCATGTCAAGTAAAGCAAAGAGAATCACTATTTAATAAAAGTATAAAGTAAATCAGAACTCAAAAATAGATACTCTTATACATTCTGACTTCATCTTTACATAATTTAAATTAGTTAAAATCCCTAAGACTCCTACATGATTATATGCTTCAATACTATTTGATATACATTATTATGCTACTCTTTGGAATAACTTCATTTTGACTTTTGGTTAGTTCTATTCATTGTTTGTTTTCCATTTATTTCCCCCCTGCCCCGCCTCATTGATAGCTAAAAAGGTACAATGTGTCAGAATCTAAAACAGCATTTGTGAAATTCACATCATCCTTCTTTGCAGACCAGATTTTCTGTCACCTATACCATTGTTTCTCCACCCACTCAAGTTTGAATTACTGAATTTATATTTGACTTTGTCTTTGCCCTTCCATCCCATTGAGTCAATCTCCAATGTCTCGAGAGGTTCTGGATAGAAGAACATTAGGTGCGAGGAGTCTCTGTCTCTGGGACATAAATTTGGGAATTCTACAGGATTACAGGATATAGGATAATGCCATGGGCTTTAATAATGCAGAACAAGAATTATCTGCATCAGGTACACTGTAACCCAGCAATGCCTTAGGGTGGCGTGCCCACGTTCTAGGTGTGGACTAGACACAATGAGGAGGTTATGGGCAGATACTAAGAAGTAGGTGGGGAGGGTGACATGGAAAAGTCAAACTACTGAATTAGAAAACGGATCCCTCTGTGTAGAAGCTGAGGGGCTTCATGGTAGCCTGTCAGAGAGCAAAAGAAGTTCAGATAACATCTTTTTCATTCATTCATTCATTCATTCATTCATTCATTCATCCATTCATTCTTTCAACAAGGGGAGATGGAAACTATTATTTTCTAGTGCCTATTATGTGCCAGAAACTTTTTACCTGAAAAATGTATTGTATGGAATATAATGAACAAAATAAGCTGGCGATCAACATAGATCTAGATACATGGAAATAGGGAACAGACTGACAAGCCTCAGAGGGGAAGGGGATGGGGTGGGGGAGGAGGGTTGGGAAGAGATAAACCAAAGAACTTATATGCATGACCAATGAAAACAGACAAGAGTGTGAGGAAGGCAGGAGGGGAAAGGGAGCAAGGAGAAGGGTGTCAACGGGGGAAAAAAGGGGAACATCTGTAATACTTTCAACAATAAAGATAAAAAAATCACCATCCCCATTTTACAGAAGAGCAGTGAATCGCAAAGCTGTGTGTTACGTTGGCCCAAAGTCAGACACTAAATATTTGGTAGGACTGGAATTTGAACCCAATTCTGGCAAATGACCTTGCTGTTTTTACTGAGTGCCTATTATGAACCATGCTCCCTGATAGGCCCTGATACAATAAACTACTTATTATGTGAATGAAGAAAAGGGTCATTAAATATGGTTATGGTGGAAAGAAGGAGTTTAGTGGGAGAAAGCTTCCAACAGGCCGTCATTCTTAATGTGGAAAGTCTGGCTTGGGAAGCGGAGGCAATGTCTCCTTAATTCATTCTTTCTTCCCCGGTGCAAGGGCGAGAATGGGGAGAACGGAACAAGGGGAACATTTAAGGAAGAGTGGCCAATCTACACCTGACAGTGGGACTAGCTAGGGACATTTAGTTGAGAAAGTGGGCTACCCGGAGGAAAGCGAACCCAATAAGAACTGGAAAGCATTCTTTAGTAAAAACAAAAAAGCAAACACTTCAGTGAAAAACAAAGATTAGCATCGGCCTGCAGTCCTGAGAAATCTGGGTTTGGTTCCCGCTAAGGGCATGTACCTCGGTTGCAGTTTGTCCCCGGCCCTGGTCAGTCGTGCGGGTGGCAGCCACTCGATGTGTCCCTTTCACATTGATGTTTCTCTCTCTCTCTCTTCCTCTCTCTCCCCACCACTCTACCTGAACAAAAAATGGAAAAAATGTCCTTGGGTGAGGATTTAAAAAAAAAGAAAATCAAAGACTAATAGTGAATTAAATTAAGCTCCCCTCTAGGGAGAATGGCAGATTTATTGGTTAGAACTATGCAGAAAAAAAGAGTAAGTCTTCACAAAAGTGGTGTGGCCCAAAGAATTCTGGGAAGCAGAAACCACCGCTGACGGTCGCTCCAACACCCAGCAATCTGATTTGTGCCCTGCAGGAAAGCAGAGATTGCAGAGCCTTCAATGGCGGGTAGCTGTGGGGAACACAGGGACGTGGGGTTCAGGGAGAGCTGCACAGCTGTCTGTGGCCCCATGTGTGGACACTGTGAACGTGTGCGCAGCCCGGGAAACCTCAGTCCTCGGTGTTGCTACATGCTTAGGTCAGGTATGTGTTTAGAAGAGAGTGCGTCTCTGGAATTTAATGTATTTCCCATACTTACGAGAAAGTGGGTGGGAGGAGGTTGACATTATTCTGTGAAATTTCCTGGGAGAAATTATTGATGCCAAATGTATAAAATCTGCAAATTTTTGAGAAATTCTAGAAAGATCATATTTAAATAGAAAATCAGCATTCATTCTGCCAAGCTTTACTGAGCTTATGTGTGTGTGTTTGTGTGTGTGTGTGTGTGTGTGTGTGTACACACACAAGTAAGGTGCTATAAAAAGACTAGAAAAAGAGCTTGCTTTTGCTGATTAAATTATACATTTACTTTTTTATTTTTGTTACATTTTCACACAAATGTGGTTTGACACACAAATTCTCCCTTTTATGCAACATCTTTGAAAAAAAATTTTTTTTCCGTTGTGTCTTTACTGTAGAGCAACAAATCTGGGATCCACATGCATGATTGATGAGTTTCTGAACGTGAATTCTGGCTCTTCTATCTGTTTCTGTGATATTTACAAACATCCCAAATGCCACCATATTAGAATGATCATTTTGAAATGTTGGGTTGTGTTCATATCTTTCATTTCTACAGATGGTAAAACACGGACACACATATGTACTAAAACGACTTAACAGACACGTTTAATACGTGCTTAACTGGTACTGTTTGCTCCATTTCTTGATTTAATATTGGACACAAAACTGTCCTGTACAAATAAACTGGACTTTAGCAATCAACAAGTATCTTGTTAATCAATTGTCCTTTAGTACTGTTCCTAAAAAATCAGTTTCGAAGTTTTAATGATCAAGAACCACTGATAATGCCATTTTAAGGTGAAAAGAAGTGGGGAAAATGATAGGAGAGTTGGTACTAGACTGCCGTTGATGCCTTAGCAATGACTGATGTCTGTCCCCAATTTCCCTTGTTCCTGTTCTAAGTAATATAGTGTTTTTTTTTTAAGGCAATAAATTGCAAGATAATTTTCCTTTTGATCAACATATGAATATTGTATGTGCTCCAGGAAAGCTCTAAAAGGAAAATATCAAATTTAAAAATAGTGAGGGATCATGTGAGACATTATATACTTTTTACTTTTACAGTGTTTGTAGCATTTTAAATGAACATTTCTACTTTTTAAACATCTAAGGCCACAGACAGAACAGAATGCATATACAATGCTCACGGCAGGGGCTGGGTGGGATCTTGATCAAAGCTTAAATATTTGAGGAAGAAAATCCCAACAGCCTAGGCTGAATATGGGAAAAATAGCATTTCAAGGATGATGACTTTGAGAAGGGACAAATATGTTTGGTATATTTCAGAAAATAAAGAAATAATGCCTACTTTGTGTGTGATGGATTTGTTTGTTTGTTGGTTTCAGGGGAGTTTGGATAGTGGTGAGGATTACACCACTGGCTGCCCATTATAGAGCTCACCTACTGACTTGTCATCAGGGGTATGTGGGGGGCCTATTTTGGAAGACAGTCCACTTTTGCAAGAAAAAATTGGTTCTTAGGGAGAACCCTTGAAATGATTGCAGTAGCCATGGGAACTCTGAGATAGAGGCTGAGCACAAAACTACATATTTATACAAAAACTCAGCTGTGAAATCAATAAGATGCTTAAATTTAATGCAGTATAACATCAAGGTTCAAGAAAGAACCACTGTCATTGGTAAGGCAGACACAATTCAATATTTTAGTCTTCTCACATCGTGATATTAGTTTTTCCTTGTTAACAGTCTACCTCAAATTTCCCAGTACAAAAATGGAATCAACACCCTCCAGGTTCTGGAAAAGAACTGGTAGGTTATTCTTTAAATGTTGCATTTTCCTCAGTTAAAATATTATGGTAAAATAATACAACTTTATGTAGTAGTCAAAAGCAATGCATAAATATGTCTGAGACACCTGGTTGATGCAACATTGCCTGGGCTGGACATTCAAGATCAAAGAGGCCCTGGCCAGCTAGCTCAGTTGGTTAGAGTATCATCCCAATATACCAAGGTTCGATCTCCAGTAAGGGCCCAAACAAGAAGCAACCAATAAATGCAAAATTAAATGAAACATCAAACTCTCTCTTTCTCTCTCTTTCTGTTGGCTAAGCAAAATAAGCCAGTCAGCCCTGGCTGGTTTTGCTCAGCATCGGCTCGCAGACCAGAGACCCGGATTCGGTTCCCGCTAAGGGCATGTACCTCAGTTGCGGTTCATTCCCAGCCCCAGCTGGGGTTGTGTGGGTGGCAACCAGAGACTGGTGGCAACCATTGTCTCTCTCACCTCTCTCTCTCTCTCTCTCTCTCTCTCTCTCTCTCTCCCTCTCTCTCTCTCCCTCTCTCCCTCCCGCTCTATCTGAAGATAAATGCAAAAATGTCCTCGGGTGAGGATAAAAAAAAAAAATAAGCCAGTTAGAGAAAGACAAGTATTACATGATCTCACTTATATGTGAAATCTAATAAAATGATGAACAAGATAAAATGATGAACAAAACGGATCCAGAGACAAGGAAGCAAGGAAC